CGAGGGGGGGGGAAAGGGGTTTGGGGGGCAAGTTAGTATGTGTTCCCCCCAAATGTTTTTTGTCTTTCAATTTCTCCTTTTTTTTTACCATTAAATTGGAAAAGGGGGACAACATAACAGACTGGTTTTATTCAGGGGGGGTGGGGGGGGGGGAAATTGTTAGGGTACAGGCTTTGTGGGCTTTTTTTGTTTTCTAATGGGGGTGTTGGGTTGACAGGATATATAGCCAATGCCTTTTTTCTGGGGGATGTTTTGCCCCCAAAACAGCACCCAACCCCTTTTTCTTTTTTCCTTTTCTTGGGCTTGGGTACCCCTGGGGGCGTTGAAGGGGGGGGGGAAGTTCCTTGATCCCCTTGATGTTAGTGGTTGGGGGGGGTGTTTTCGGCGCCTCCCCGGGGGGGCGGGGGAAATAGGAAAACAATCTAGTAGATGGGGGGTGTTCAATTTTTTTTGGGGGGGGTTTTTCAGTGAGAATTGGGGGGGGGAAAAAACAGGGGGCCCTTTTTTCTGTTTTTTCTATTCAACCATAGCCCACCTCCCCATCCGGGAAGGCCAATATGTTTCCCCATTTTGTTTTCAGTGACGTTCCCCCAAAAAAAGAAATACCCCCGGGGCACCGTTTCCGGGGGGGGGGGGACTATTCTTTTTTTTCCCTAATAATGTTTTTCAAAATTAGCGTGAATAAAAAAATATTAATGGCTGGGGGGGGGGGGGGGTGGGGGGGATGTGGGACCCCCCCACCTGCCTTTTTTTTTTCTTCAAGGTATTTGGGGAAACCCAGGGTTCCCCAAGGTGGGGTAAGGGGGGGGGGGCAAATGTTGTTTGTCAAGAATCATTTTGGGGCTTCCCCGGTTTTTCTTTTTTTTTTTTATTTTATTTTTTTCTTTTAAAGGGTAAAAAGGGCTTGTTCAAAGTGGGGCATTATTTTGTAAATAACCCTCCCCCAACCTTCCCCTTTCTTCGGATTATTTGGGGGGGGAAAAAAAAAAAATGGGGAATGAACCCTCCAACCCATATAAGGGTTCAAAAAATAAAAAATAAAAATCACATAATAAAAAATAAAAATAACAAAAACATTTGCCAAGGGTTTTAGGGGGGGGGGGGGGGGGGGGGGGGGGGGGGGGGGGGGTGGGGGGGGGGGGGGGCCCCCACATTTTTTTTGCTTTTTTTAGGGACGTGTTTGGGGCCTTCACCTTTATTTTTCAGGGGGGGTTTGGGGCAAAACATTATATTCCAGGGGGGTTTCGTGGGGGGGACCATTTGATTTGTTTTTTTTTTTTCCCTAATATAATATATTTGTGGCAAAGTTCTGCTCTTACCGGGGCCCATCTTGGGGGGATTCTTTAAAACGGTCCTCCAAGTGGGGTTTCAGGGGGGAGGGGGGTTAAAAAAGTCAGGTGGTGTCGGGGGGGGGGGGGGGGGGGGAGGTGGGTTCCCCCAACCCTTGAGGGGCCTTTATTAGGGCCGGGAGGTGGGGTTCTCTTGTTTTGTAAAGGGGCAATTCGGGGGGGCATCCGGGATGGGGGAAAAACCCCACCCCCCCCACAAAAGGAACGGGTCCCCCATCCCTTTCTTGTCTTCCCCACAAAAAAAAAAAATAATGGGGGGGGGGCAAAAGGCCGGTGGGCTTTTTTTTCGGGTTTGGGAAAACGGGTTTTTTTTTTTTTAATTTTTTTATTATTAGTTTACCCACTTTTTTCACTACAAAAAAATACCAATTCCCATATTTATTGGGTTGCCTGCCCCCATTTATTTGAGTCACATTTCATTAGATTTATCTGCTTAGCTTTCTGTGGGCTTATGGCCCAGAGTTATGGGGGCCAAGGATGGTGTCTTGTTATGATTTGTTTTTCCTCATTCATATCCAGCCAACAGACCTGACTATCCCTAAATAATTGTTCCAAATCCACTTGGTTTATAAAAGGGTTTGGAATCAATGGGTGGTGGGAATTAAAAAGGGAAAAAATCCACTTAAAATAATGGTTTTGTTTCTTGTTTTTTTTTTCCCTTCGGGGGTTTTTTGGGGGCCTATTTTGCGTTAATTAAAATACCTCTAACCCGATTGTTTTTTATTTTTTCCTCTCTATTTTTTCTGGGGGGGGGCTTTAATGTAATTCCAATGGCTATTTGGGGGGGTTTTTTTATTTGTCTCATTTGTGTTTTTGTGGGGCCCCCCGGTGGGGGTTTTTTAAGGATTTATTTTTTTTACAAAAATTCTACCCAGGTGATTTTTGGGTTGGGCTTTTTCTTTCCGATGGTTCTTCAGGTATTTTTCCCTTTTTTTTCTTTGCCTTTGGACACCAATATTAAAAAAAACCCACAAAACCCGGTTGGGGGGGGATATAAAAACACTTTACAACTTTTCCTGATGTTGGCATTTTTTGGGGGGCCGGGAATAATTACAAGTGGGGGGGGGGGACCCCCAACATAGCTGTTTTTTTTTGGCTGATTGTTTGGGCCACTTTTTTGCCCCCGGGTTTTGTTTTTTATGTTTGGCTATGTTAACAGGGGGGGGGCCTGGGGGCCTTAGGGGGGGAAGAGGCAAGGGATTAGGGGGGAGGGGGGGGGGGGGGGGGGGGGGGGGGGGGGGGGGACCTTGGGACCCCCCCCCTGTACCCTTCTTTTTTTTTATTCCTTGGGGGGTTTGTTTTACGGGGCCTGGGGGTCCAATCCTTTATTTTTCTGTTTGGGGGGGAATGGGGCCGGGCCCCAAACTGGGCAACTTTTTTTTGTGCCTCCAATACAAGGGGGAGGGGGGGGGGGGGGACTTATTTTCGCTTAAGGGGGGCACCAAATGGGCCCCCCCCCACCACCCCAACCGGGGGGTTTTGCTAATTTGTTAACCAGGTTGGGGGGGGCACAAAAAATATTAAAAACCCTCACCCCCACCTGGAATTTTACAAAAACTGGGGGGGGGGAAAATTGTGTGGGGCTTGGTTTTTTTTTTTTTAAGGGGCTGGTGGGGCTAAAAAAATGGGGGTATTCCAATTTTGGGAGGTGGCCCGGGGGCCTTTTTTTAAAATCCTCCAAAAACAAACAAAAAGTTGTTGAGATTTTTTTTTTTCCACGGGGGGGTTTTTCTTTTTTTCCACTTCTATTTTTTTTCCTTGGTTTTTTTTCCAAAATTTCAAACTTGGGAAAAGGGTTTTTACCCGTGCTTTAGGGGGGGACTTTCCCCCCAACAGGTTTAATGGATAATGCCAAATTTGGGCTTTCTTGGGGGGGGCTTAACGGGGGGGGGTGGGGTCACCTTATGTTTTCAATCTATTTTTTTTTTTCCCATTGTTTTTTTTTTTTTCTTAAAGGGTCATAATGGGGGGTACCGGGGGGGAGTGCAATCATTGGTATGTTTTGTTGTGGGGGGGGCAAAGGGGGGGGGGGGGACCAAAATTTTGAAACCCCAAAAGTAGGGGGAGGGGGCCAGAAAGTGGGGGGTGCTTGCTTTTTATTTCCCTTTTTTTTGCTGCTTAATTTATAACCTTTCGGGTCCCCCCCACATTTTTTTTTTTTTCCTTTTCTTTTTGTTTTTGCATATAGGGCTCTGCCTTTGGATTATAATAAAATAAACATACTAAAACACTCAAAGTCGTTATTGTTTTTTGCCTTTGTTTTTTCAGGGTTTCGTGGGTTCCCCCCCAACTTTCCGGGGGGGGGAGTTCTTGAAAAGGGGGGAAAAAAAAAATGTTGTTTTGTTGGGATTTTTTTTTTCCTTTTTTTCCCATTACTTTTTTTTATTGTTTTTTACCAGGGTATTGTAGTTCTTCATTGGGGGGGGAGGAACAGTTTTTTGAAACATAATCGTCCAGTCACTCTTGGTGATGGTTTTTCGACCCCTATTCAATTCCCAATTTGTAGGGGGGGACTGTCCTTGGGGACTTAAAAAAGGGGGGGGGGGCTTTTGCCAACACAAAAACACAAAAAAAAACAAAAAAAATCATTAAAAATAATTTTGTTTTAATCCTTGTTTTTTTTTGTCTTTTATTAATAACAAATTTTTGGTAAAGGGCTGCCAATTGTGGGGGGGGGGGGGAAATTTTGGTTGGGTTCACAGGCCAACTTTACCAAGTGGGGTTTTTTGTTTAAAAAAGGGCGGTTTGCGCTTTCAGTTGTTTTTTTGGGGCTACCCCTTCTTTCCATTATTTGAATTGTTTTTTCTTTGCACTAGCATAAATACTTGGGAAACAAAATAACCCCAACCCCCCCCCAACCACTTTGGCACCTTTTTTTAACTTTTTTCTATTAAAGGGGAAGCCTTGGAACAACCTGATTTTTTTTTCCTCTGGGGTCTGTGGGGGGGGATTTGCTTTTCCCCAATGGGTGAAATTTAGGGGGGGCTTTTTTCCCAGGAGGGGGGGCCCTGTTCTGGGCCTGGGGGGGGCGGGGGGGGAAACTTTGAAAAAACTTTTGGGGGGGCCCCCCCAGTATGTGGGCACCTCCTTTTTGATAAATTCTTCCCCGCAATAACCCCACCCATCCCCGGGGTTCCGGGTGGGGGGGGGGAAACCCACATTAAAAACACCCCCCCAACAACTTTTTTTTGTCAGGGGGGGGGAAACGTTTAAAATAAAACCCCTTACCAAAAGGGGGGGTTTTTCTTTCCCTTATTTTTTTTTTTTTACCGGGGGGGGGAGGGGGGTGGGGGGGGGGGGTGGGGGGGGGGGTTGACCCTGCTTAAGGGGACGTTTAGGAAAAAAAATAAAGGGGGCCATTTTTACCCCCAATTGGTTATTTTTAAAAGGGGCCTTGGAACCAGTGGGGGGTGGGGGGGTTTTTTCCGGGTGTTGGTTTCGGGGGGGGGGGGGCCCCCCACCCCCCCCAACGTCTTTTTTAAAAAAAACAAAACTCACCCCAAGTTATTCCCCCATGGGAACGGGTGGGGTAGTTTTGGGGGAATTTTTTTCACTTTTTCCAGGGGGGGGGTTATTGGATAAACCCCCAATCCAGGGGGGGGGGGGGGGGGGGTTGGAAAATTAAAAAATCCTATATAATAATTCAAATAATCAAAGGGGGTTTTGCACCCCCCCCCCCACACCATAACCCCAAAACACCCCCACCCACCCCCAACACAACAAAATACAACAAACCCCAAACCCCCCCCCACCCCCCCACCCACCCAACAACAACCCCACCCCCCAACCCCCCCCCAAACCCACCCCAACACCCCCCCACACCCAACCCCCCAAACCCCACAAAAAACCCACCCACCCAAAAACCCCAACCCCCACCCCCCCCCCACAAACCCCAAAACCCCAAGGGGGGGGGGGGGAAATCCGCCCCTTCTCCCCCCCACCACCAACCCCACCCCCCCCCAACCACACCAATAACCCCTCAACCCACCAAAAGGGGGGGGGGGACGCTCCTTTCCCCCCCCCACACCACCAACCCTAACACACAAACCCCTCCCCCCACCAAAACCACCCAAAAGGGAAACGGGTGGGGGGGGTCTCTTCAACACCAAAAACAAAACCCCAACACCCCCCACCACCCCAAACAAAAAGTCCGGAACTTTTCCCCCTCCCCACCCCAACCCCATCCAACTAACCCATACACCAAGCAACAACCCCCCACCCACCATAACAGGGGAACTGCTCTTCCTCCCCACCCCTACCACTATTTTTTTTAAAACACGGGTATTCCTCAAATTAAACATGGGGGGAAAACCTTATTCCCCTCCCCCCCACCTAGGGCAAAATATACTCTACCATTTTCCATTTCAATTTGGTTCCACACATGTTTGGGGGGGGGCCCCCCAAAAATAAAAACGGTGGGTCTTATTCCTTTTATACCAAGGGGGAAAAAAAAAAAATACAAAAATACACGGGGGGGGGGGGCTCCCCTCTGAGAAAACCACCCCAAGGGGGGGTAAAGTTGGGGGGGGGGGGGGGGGAAATCCCACAAAACCCATGGTTTTTTATTTGTTGTTATTTGTTTTTCCAAACAATTTTTGTTTTTTTTTCACAAATATAATAAATGCCACTGATTTTTTCATCGTTTTGGGGGGGGGGGAAAACCCATCATGGGGGGAACATGGTTTTTCATTGTTTGGAGGCTTTTTTTTTTTTTTTTTTGGGTTTTTTTTTCAAAAATTAATGTTTTTCTGGGGGCGTTTTAACACTAAAAAATAAGGGGATAAACTTTATATTGTTGATTGTGTTTGGGGGGGGCGTAAACTTACCTAAATTTTGGTGGGTGGTTTATTTTTGGGTTGCGTTAACCCCAGGGGACTTGTTTGTTTTGTGGCGGGGTTGGGGCGTTATAACATGGGGAATTTTTTATTTTGGGGGTTTTGGTTGGTTTTTTCTTTTTTGTTTGGTTATATTTTTGGGGGGGGGGGACAATTTTTTTTTTGTATTTTCTTTGGTTTTAAAAAAATAACCCAGGGGAACAATATTTTTCTTTTGGGGTGTGGTATATTTAAAAATAAAATAACCAACGTTTGTTTTTACGGAAGAGGATAAAGGGACAAAACGGGGGAACAAAATAAAAAAAAAAAGGGCCTTTAAAGTTTGGGGCTAAAAAGGGGGGTGAAACAGGGGGGGTCCTTTGGTTTTTTTTTTTTAACCCAAAAATCCAGAAAAAAAATTCTTTTCTTTGGACCCCACCCCCCCCCACCCCCCCCCCACACCTTCTTGGCCCCGCCCCAAAAAAAAAAAAAAGGGGGGGCGTTGTTGGTCAAAAAAACAAATAAGATTTAATTTTTAAGTATAAAGGGTTGTAATGGCGGTTTGAGGGTTGTTTTTCCCAGGGCAGTACCATTCCCAGGGGGTGGCAAAGGATTGGTAGCTGGTTTTTTTGTGGAGGGGGGGCATGGGGGGGTTATTTACCACAACGGTCAATGCAATAATCCCTGCAGTGGTGGGTTTTTTGTGGGCCACCTATAGGGTTTTGGTTACTGGATTAAAAGGAGGGTTGGGGGGTCCAAATAACCAGGTTGTCCCCAAGGGGGGGGGACATATGGGGGAAAAAGTGGACCATTTTTTTTTTTTAACCCGTGGTTTTTTTACCAGGGGGGCAAATGGGGGGTGAGGGGGGGGGGGGGTGGCCAAAAAATCAACATATTGTTGCATACAAAAATTTGTTGTTCTGGGCACCATTTACAATAAAAATTTATATCTATTTTTTCAACCCCCCATCCCTTACACCAAACCGCCCGGGGGGGGGGGGGGGGCACGGGGGGTTACGGCCCCCCACAGGGGGAGGCAGGGGGGGGGGACCACCGGCTCCCCCCCCCTCCAACCCCATTTACCACCCCCCACCCCCCACAACCCCACCCCCCCAAACCAAACCCCCATGGGGTCAATAAATTACCTGTCTTTGAGGGGCAAGAGAAAGGGGGGGGGAATAAGGGTTGTTTTTTTTTGTAGGGCCTGTTTTACTTGCTCCGAACAAGGGGAGTTTTTTAATTTTTTGTTGTTATAAAAAAAAAAAATTTTTGGTTCCACTCCATTAAATCATTTTTTTGGGGTTTTAAAAATTGGGGGGGGTGGTACAGACAAAAATATTTTTGGTCCTTCCGTTTTTACAGGGTTTACAAAAAAAAAAAAAAGGGCATGGGGGGGACTCGGGGAACTTTTTTTCTTCCCCCCCGGTGTTTTTGGCGGGGAGCGGGTTGTTTTTCGTTCTCTTTAAACTTCCCTTCCGCATTTCCATTAAACCGGGGGCTTGTCCCGGTATTACTTTTTTAATTTCAAAAAATTGGGGGGTTTAATTTTTGGGGTGGGGCCCCTGGGGTTTTCTAATAAAAACAAAACCCGGGTGCAAAAGGGGGTCGATTATCAACCCCAGATACCATAATATTTTTTTTTCTCCCACCCCATCTGTCAGCGGAAAAAAAAATCAATATTTCAAAATCTTGATTTTGGGATTATAGTTTTTCCGGATAAAATGGGGGGGAATTTTTTTTTGCTGTCCAAATTCCTTTTCTAAACCCCAAAGGAAAAAAAAAAAAATACAAAAAACATCCAAAAGGTTTCAAAATAAAAAAACAATCCCCCATAGGGTTGTTTTCAGCAGAAACCCCCCCCCCCCCCACCCAAATCAAAACTATAATGGTTCATTTGTTATGCGGGGGGGAAATAATTTAAATACCCTTTTTGTGATTTATTTTTTCCCCACTTTTCTTCTTGGGACTGCGGGTTTGTAAAAAAAAAAAGATATTTTAGGGGATTTTGATACCAACCATTTAAAAACACCCTTCATACAAAATTCCCAAACTGTTTTTTAGCTTTTGATTTTTAAGAAATACCAACCCCCAAGGGGGGGGGTGGGGGGACCCCCCCACAATTTTGTTTCAGGGTTATTAAATGGGGGGTGAAACCCCCAGGGAATAACTTTTTGGCTTTTTTTGGGATTTCTTTGATGACCCCCAGGGGGGGGGGGGGACAAAACCTTCACCAGGGGGGCCCATGAGGGTAGGGGGGGCTATTTTGAATTAATTGTTTCCTGCGTAGGAGGTAAAAATAACGGGTCTTTATACGATGGGTGTTTAAAAGTGGGGTGGGTTTTATAATGGGGCCACTTTTTTTGTTTAATAGGCGGTTTTGGGTTTTAGGGGCCCGAGTTTGGGTTTTTCGTTAAAATAAAATATGTAATCCCCACTTGTTGGGGTTTCAAATAAAAAAAACTACCTCCCAAGAAAACTTTTTTTTTTTTTGGGGGTGGTCTTTGTGCCCTTTTTTTTTTTTTGTGTTTAACTTTCTGGGCAATTGGGGCTTGGCGATCCTTTTTCCATAAATTTTTATTTGTCCACGGGGGGGTTGGTCCCCCACTTTTTTTTTAAAAGTCCTTTTTTTAACCCCTTTTTTTCTTTTTTTTTCTGCAAAAAATTTTGTTTCATGGTTATTTTTGTGGGGGGAATTTGATTTTGTTGTCTGGGCTCCGTTTTTTCTTTTTTTCCTTTTTCCTGGGCCGGCTAAGCCCTTTCCCAACAAAATCCCAACCTTCTGGTTTTTTTTTTTTTTACATATGGGTGGGGGTGGGGGGGGGGAAATAAATCACAAATCGAGGGGGGGGGGGCTCCAACTGGCTTGGTTTGGGGGGGGATTCCCCCCTCTCCCTTCTAAAAAATGGGGGGGAGGGGATAAAAAAAGGGGGGGTGGTTTTTGGCCCCCCCTTTTCATTTTGGCCCCAGGGGGGGGGGCGGAAAAACCCCCCAAGGGGGGGGGGTGTGAATATACTGTTTGTTTTTTTTATTTTCCGTTTTTTACGGGTTCGTCATTGGGGGGTGGGAGTGCGGGGAGGGGGGGGCAAAAACGGGGTTGTTTGGGGGGTTTATTTTGCGTTTTATTGTTGGGGGGGAATACAAATTTGTTTTGAAAAACAGGGCTGGGGGGGAGGGGGGGCAGCGGCTTTTTTTGGGGCATGGTGTTTTTATGGATTGGTGGGGAGGGGGGGAACCAGGCGGGGGACCAACATTTTCTGGGGGGGGGGGGTGGGGGGGGGGGGGGGGGGGGAACCAAAATTCCAGGGGGGGGGGGTGAATATAATTGGGGGTAGTTCGCCGGGGGACGTTTTAAGGATTTTTTTGTGGGTGGGGGGTTTTGTGGGGGGTGGGGGGAGGCTGGGGCTAGTGGGAGGTGAAAGTTGGGGGGCCTTTTAAATTATGGGGGTGTGGTTTTCCAAGATAGGGGAAATGGAAAAATTGGGCCCGTCGCCCAACCCCCACCTAAAATGGGTCGGGTTTTTATGTTGGACGCTTTTTAGGGTCGTGTGAAAAAAAAAGAATAGGGCCCGCAGGGGAAGGGGCCGCCATAAAAATCGGGGATTTACCAGCCCAATCAATAAACGGGGAGGGGGTCCGCATTTTTTGTTTTTTAGTCTAGATATTGTTTTTTTTTGGTGGCTCTCCGAAAATGGCCCCGCGGGGAGGTTGGGGCCCACACCACCACTAGGGGTTGGGATTTAATTGAGGGGGGTAAAAAAAGAAACGGGGGGGGGGGGGGGAAAGGGGAATTTTTAAAGGGAAGGGGAATGAAAAAGTTTTTTTTTTTCTTTAAAATAAACAATACCCCTAAAAATCAAAAATTTTTATCCCAAACAATAATTCCGGGGGGGGAAGACTTTTTTTATGGTGGAACTGGCTTTGTTTAGGGGGTTTTTTCTTCTGTTCCCCAGCGGGTTTTTTGTTTGATTTTTAGGTCTTAACTTTTGTTGAAGGGTGTTTATATTTTCTATGGAGGGAAAATAAATGGGGGGGTTTTTTTTCTGGTGTTTTAATGGGGGGCCCCATCGGTTTGGGGAAAAAAATTGTTTTGTTCTTTTGGCAAGTTTACCGGCCGAAGTACAAAAAATGTTTTATTTCCCCTTTCCAAGGCATTCAAAATACGGGTCTTTTATAGGGTATACAAACCCCCCAAAAATCATAAACCCTGGTTTTTTTTTATAATTAGGATAATGTTCCCAGGTATTTTCATATTTTTTTAACCACCAGTGGGGGGAGTTTTTGGTGGTTGAAATTGGGGGGGGACCAATAAGGGGAATTTTTTTTAAATAAAAATTTTTAATATGAAGAATCAAATTTAATATTCCATTTTCAATTAAAATATAAATTAAATTCAATATAAAAACTAACAAAATGGCTTGGCGGGGGTAATGTGGTGGGGGGGCGTTACTTTGGTTTCAAGGGGGGGGGGGTGTGGGCAGGTAGGTTTTTGGGGGGGTTTGGGTGGGCCCTTTATGGGGGGTGGGCCTTTGGGTTAGGTGTTAAAATAAAATCCATGGCTTTACAACAGGCCCACCCACCCAATACTTTTTTGAGTTGGGTGTACTGCTGGTAACCAAAAACCCCCCCCCCCAAAAAACATTTTTTTTAACATTAATTGGAATTTCTTGCCTTTTTTTTTTGGGGACCACACCCCAACATCGGCCTTTTGCGGGGGGTGGGGGGGGGGGGGGGGGGGGGGGGGGGGTCCCTAGGGGGTTGGGTGTGGTCAAAAAAACATATAGGGAAGAAGAATTTTTTTGGGTGTGTTGTACAAAACCAGAAAGAGGGGGGCCTTGTGGAGCGTAAGCACCTGTTAGGGGCGTTCTTTTTTTTTTGTTATCTTTTGATCCAGTTTCTTTTGTTCTTTTTCTTCGTTTTAAACCAATAATAAACCGGTTTTTTGGGATATTTACCCAAACAAAAGGATTCGTTCATGGTATTCAACAGGGATTTACCAAAATTGGGGGTCATATAAATTTTTTTTTCTTTTTTTTTTATTTTTTTTTTTGTACAACAACCCCCACCCCCACATAAATTTTACTGGTTTTACGCACCCCCCACCACCCCAACCAGGTGTCCCCAAGGGTTATTTTTTTTTGTTCTCTTTTTGCGGAAATTTTTTTCGAAGGGGGGGGGGGGCCATGGGGGGGGGGGGGGGAACTTGCGTTTCAAAAAAAGGGATTTCGTTGGGGGGGTGTCAAAAAAAAAAAAAAACGTTGTGGTTGTAAACATTTAATCACTTTTACCTTTTTTTTTTTTTTTTTCTGTTTTTTTTTTAAAACCCCCCCACCCACCAACCCCCACCCCAATTTTTCTTTTTCTTACGCACAACCCAACACCCCAAATCCTGTTTTACGCCAATCCCCCCCCCACCCCCACATTAAAAATTTTTTCCTTTTTGTTCTTTTTTTTTTTTCGTTTTAGTTTTTTTAACATATTTTTTACCCCAATAATACATACTTAAGTTTTACCCACCACGCCACATAATATAATTTTTTTTGTTTTACCTTTTTTACCCCCCAAACACCCCCCACCAACCCCACAAATAAATTTTTTATTTTATGGTTTTTACCGGTCCCCCCCCCCAACGGGGCATTTTAACTATATTTTTCCTTTTGGTTAACGGGCCACACCACAAAAAATTTTTTTTTTCTGGTGGGGGTTTGTTTTTAACCCGCCCACACCCCCAAACACAAACAAAAAATATTTTTAAATTGGGAATTAACCCCATATTATAAGCTTTTTTCACATTTTACCCTAAACTATTGTGTTTGTGGGCCTTTTTGCCCTTTTTATTTTTACATTAAATAGGAAATACTTGATTAAAAACAAAAAAAATAAAAAACAACAAAAAGGGGGGGAATCTAAAATAAGGGGGGGTGGGCAAGTAAGGGGTGAGGGGGGTGGCCTTTGCCATTTGATCATATAAAAACATTGTTCAAAGATGGGTTTTTTTTTTTTTTTTTTACACCAAACCATAAAAAAAGTGTTTATACTAGGATCGAAACTGGTGTTTAAACAAATACCATGAAAAAAAATCCGTCCCCCACCCTTAGGGGGGGGGGGGGGGGGGGGGGGGTGTGGGTATCC